CATTGTGATACAACATTGAAACTAAAGCCAGGGAGAGTGACCTTTGCCCTTCCAAATGTTGTGGAACATCTGTCAGACTCAGCTAAGAAGGCAAATGGTCAAGGATGATGGGAGCTGAAATCCAGCATCATTTAAAATGACTCAGATTATTTGCATGAAGCCAAAAGAACAAGGAAAGCCGCTGCTTCCATGTATTGTTTTAGAGAAGCATAGATTTAAACTAGTAACTACAGCCAAAGAGCCACGTAAGATTTGGGATTCTACTTTTCCATAATCCCATAGAGAGAACTGAATGCATGTACGTGCAGATCCCAGGGCATCGTCCCTTCACACCTTTAGAAAGGGGCAGAGGGATAAGGGGACACTTAGTTTAGTTGTCACGTGTTCACTAATGTTTGGAAAGAAGGAAAGGCAACCAGATATGCAGACTATATTACTGTAAATCCATCTCCAGTTTCCAGTTGTCACAAGTTAAGCAAATCATCTTCTCTAGAAAATTGAAATCAGGATGGTGTTTTGTTTTTCTAGATCTCCTCATTTTATCTTCTTCCTTTCCCAAACCTTTCTTGTCCAGGTCATCAATTTCTCCCCAGCCCTTTATGAGTTTGTAACCAAGCAGATGAAGAAAAACCTCATCCTAGTACTGAACAAGATTGATCTGGCCCCACCAGCCCTGGTGGTGGCCTGGAAGCATTACTTCAAGAGCCGATTCCCTGAGATCCATGTGATCTGTTTCACTTCTTACCCACAGCATGACCAAGATCCCAGTGCAGGTATTTTCTGAAACATATTCATAAACTTTTGTAGCTACCACGGGATGCCATGTTTCAACGTAATTCTGTGTTGGTTGAGCTGTCACAGACCTAGCATGGCACCATATGCTATGAGGGAGATAGCAGAATTATAATGGTTCATTTTGTTTTTTTCATTATAAAAGGTATATGGCAGGCTAAGGAGTGTAGAAAAGGTCCTCAGCCATTGGCCAGATCTGAGGTGTTTGTTAGTTTGGTCTCTACAAAGCAATGAACTCCCTTGAGTTGACTTGACTCCTGGTAACCACATGAAATGCTCAGGTTGTCTTCTTTGTAATAATATGGAAGTGGTTTGCCTTCAACTTCTGGAATGTTTCTTTAACTACATCCTGAGATTTCTTAGTAGACTCCCTTCGTGATCAGCCTTTGTCAGGCAAGTGTACTTCCTAACAGTGTCAGTAAATTAACATGTGATCTGGGGAGAAGCAACTGGGTTCATCCAGATGTTTTGGACCTCACTTCCCCTACGTCCTGGCTAGTATTCAAAATATCTGGACAGCCAACAATGTAAACAATATCAGGATCATTGTTATTACATTTATATGCCACCCAACTCCCAGGAATTCTGGGTGGTTTGTGGCCTTGATTCCTCCCTTGCCCTTCTGCTGTCGTGGACAGTATCCAAAGTTCTGGATTTGAATCTTGACCTGAAACCTTCTGCCTTTTTTTTTCCTTTCAGTGTTTAAAAAACGTCGGAAGCGTCGAAAGGGATGGAGCACAGCTATGGGGCCTGATCAACTGCTGAGCTCCTGTGAGGCTATCACAGCTGGCAAAGGTGCGGCTACTCACATTTGGGCTGTGCCTGCATCACTACTTTTGACCCAGAATGAAATTGCTCCTAAAAGTCAGCACCATGATGGTTCAGTTTGGGCTTAGCAAGGAAAGCTGCCAGAGCTTCAAGGTGCAAATAATCCATTTTCTTTTCCTTGAAACCCAGCCACTTCGCCTCAGTGGAATACAGGCAGTCCTTGCTTAATGACCACAATAGGGACCAGAAAATTGGCTGTTAAGCAGGGTGGTTGTTAAGTGAATCAGACCCAATTTTTTTGTGGTGGTTGTTAAACAAATCACCATGGTTGTTAAGGAAATCACACAGTCATGAAGCAAATCGCATGGTTCCCCATTGATTTTGCTTGCCGGAAGCCAGCTGGGAAGGTCACAAATGGCAATCACATGACCTTGGGATGCTGCAACCATCATAAGTGCAAGCTGGTTGCCAAGTGCCTGGGTCACGATCACATGACTGCAGGGGTGCTGGAATGGTCATAACTTCAGGCACTGGTCATAAGGCACTTTTTTTTTTAGCATTGTTGTAACTTTGAACAGTCACTAAATGAATGGTTGTTAAGCGAGGATTACCTGTAAAGAATAAGCTCTGGAAGCTCAGGGTTAGTGTTTGTACTCAGAAATGTTCTCCAGTCTGTCACTAAATGATCTCAACAAGGTCACATAATAATACAGACGCGCGTTCCAGTTTCTTCCATTTAATTTGACATATACTTCAGGCACCACATTGCACATTTCTTTATTTATTCCTAGATTTATATCCCACCTTCGCAGTATTTGCACCATTCAAGGCGCCGTATGTAGGAGCCCCCCGTGAGGTGGGTTGGGCTGAGAGAGAGTGACTGGTCCGTAGTCACCCAGCCGGCTTCATGCCAAAGACAGGACTAGAACTCACCATCTCTTAGTTTCTAATCCCGCACCTTCACCACTACACCAGACTGGCTCTGGTCATTTCTGCCATTGTTGTTATTGTGATTTCCCCTCTCTTTTGCCAGTGGACTTGAGCAGCTGGAAGGAGAAAATTGAGCGGGATGCTGCTAGTGCAGGCCTGCCCCTTGATGACTCCGAGGAAGAGGAGGAAGATGACAGAAGCGCGGCTGTGCTGGTGGAGCATCAGACAGACGTAGCTATGGAGGCTGGTGAAGCCTCCCAGGAGCTCTACAAAGATGGAATCCTGACAGTCGGCTGCGTAGGTGAGTCTGGCCTCAAAGCCATCCAGCAGGAGGCCATTTTGGAGGGAGCAGAGTATTCATAGGACTACCTTTGAGGAGAAGGCTTGGTGAAATTACCACCCAGGTGCTGTAGAAGGACACGGACTAGAACAGGTCCAAACTTGCATACAAAACACAAAGCCGGTGGTGTGTGCCTGACAGGGCAATCCTATGCATATCTATTTGGAAGTAATACTACTGAATTTACAGGGCTTATTCCAAAGTAAGTGAATTTTGAATGGCAGCCTAAACGAACTGGCTAAACTACTGGGTATCCAATTGGTGGGATTTGGGTTCAGGTTCTCTCGTGTTCATGGAACTCTTTGCTGAAAGTCACGGCCAGCATTCTCTCTTGACCTAATTGTAACATTCACGCAGTTACGGGGGGCCTCCCACGGGGGGGGGGAAAGAAGACACCAAACTGATTCTCCTTCGAGGGGGGTGAGAGCGCCCAGACCGGAGTCTGGAAACCTCTTTTATTGAGTACATCAGAGGGCTGGGTTAGTACATCAAAGGGCTGGGTTAAGCATATATAC